CATGGGTGCTGAGGCCATCATCGCTGGCCTGACGATGGAGACCCTGGAAGGAACCACCTTGGATGTGGGCTGCAGTGGGGAAGAGCTGACCCTCAATGGGAAGCCCATCATTGCCAACAAGGATGTCCTGGCAACCAACGGCGTCATACATTTTGTTAATGAGCTGCTGATCCCAGACTCAGGTGCTGGTGTCTCTTTGCATCTTTCTTTCTGTTGCCTTTCTTTTGTCTATTTTGCCAAGGAAATACTGGATTTAGAGGGTGTAGATATTTTGTAGTGATGGATTGCCTTTAACGCAAGGTTACTATGTGTTGCTTTTCTTTTCAGCTAAGACTCTGTTTGAGTTGGCACAGGAATCTGAAGTTTCCAAGTCTATGGACTTTTTCAGACAAGCTGGTCTCAGTTCTCATCTAACTGGCAGTGAGAGAGTGACCCTCCTTGCCCCAGTGAATGATGTGTTCAAAGGTAAACCAGGGAGTAAATCCCCTTCTTCCATCAGTTTGGGCCACAGATCTCCTTCAAACAGTCTTCAGCCAAGTTTCAGTGCACAAGTATGCAGATTCTCTCTCAAATGCCTCAGCTATAGGCAGCGGCATCTAGCTTTACAATTAAAAACTGGTGTGGGTAATACTCTGTATTTGGACTTTTTTTAGTGTCTCAGTGGTCATTTTAAGTGAATCACTGGTTCTTTCCATACTTTTTGCTGCAGATGGACTCCCTGTTGTCGACAGCAACATGAAAAAGTTGCTTCTGAACCACATTGTTAGAGACCAGCTCTCCTCTAAATATCTTTACCATGGACAGAAACTACAGACTCTGGGTGACAAGGAACTGCGAGTTTTTGTGTACCGCAATGTAAGTTCTTGCAGTGTGCAGTGCTCTATATGGCTGAATGATGCTTGATGTCTGTAATGTTATGGCTATCATGTGAAAAGTGTAATTGAGCACTGTAGAAAGTATAAAAATCTCTCTTTTGAAGCATATGCTAATAAAATCTTTTTTTCTGCCATTTTCTTTGCAGAACCTTTGCATTGAAAATGCCTGCATTGCTGCCCATGACAAGAGAGGAAGGTTTGGGACGCTGTTTAGCATGGACAAAATGTTGACTCCACCGTCTGGCTCAGTGATGGATGTTCTCAAGGCAGACCATCGCTTCAGGTGACCTTTCTGCTCTTCCTAAGTGCTAGTTAGGAGCAGAAAAGCTGCCAAAGCAGCTTCTATTTATTATGGGTCATAGTCATTGCTTTATATACCTTTTTTAACACAAAAAGAGTATCCAAACCCATGGTCTCATCCCTAAATTATAGGGAGTGAGACTTCAAATAACCCTTCAATGAACTGTGAGCCAAGGGTATGTGGTCCCCCTTAATGCAGCAAGAAGCTGGCTCCAAAGCCATCTCTGCCCATCAGAGCCACTGTGGCCAGACCTCTCTGTCTCCTCACCACCATTTGGTCCCCAAGGAGTCAGCATTCTCAGGTTGCTTTGCCATTTCTCGTATGTTCTGGTTGGACCTCACAGGCTCATTTCCTACCTAATCCACTTTTTGGTTAATTGATTTGCTGGATCCCAGCAGGATTTTGCAATTGTAACTTCCCGGCTCTCTTTTGAACCCAACATGCAATTGCTCAAAGACCAACAAAAGTAGTTTATAATGAAGCATTTTATGTATATTTGTTTTGCAGTACGTTGGTGGCTGCAATCCAGTCTGCAGGTCTAACGGAGAACTTGAACAGGCCAGGTACCTTCACGGTGTTTGCTCCAACAAATGAAGCTTTCCGAGCCATGCCCCAAGGGGAACTGAACAAACTAATGGGTGAGCATTTTTAGAGCATTTAGGTGAACAGCTGCTGTGTTATTGGTATGATACAGGGAGGAACGGCTAAGTTTCTCTGCCGTATCTCAGTCTTTGACCCTGTCTGTTGGAAGCATGGGCTTCCTCCAGAACTGATTTGGATAAGCCCTATCCAGCAGAAAGCTGAGGATGCACAGAGTGGCACTGAACTCTCACACAAAGGGTGGGCGTGGGTTTATACTTCCCTCGTGCTTGGAAGACGTGTTTGTAGTGTGTGCTACAAACTTCCTAGGACTGTAATTTGGCTGTGCTGGCTGGTGTAAGCAAGATAACTCTAAGGTGTTTCTAGAGGAACCGATGAGGTCTCTGCCTTTCTCAGGGATGAAAGAAGTGAGAATGGGGCTGACAACCGCATAGCATCAGGGTGTCTAAAGTAGGCTTGGCAAATAGAAAACATGGTCCGCGTTCAGCCTCAAGTGACACTGAATGAAATTTAAGTAGTAAAAGGATGGAGCTGTTGCTCCACCTACGTGTACATGGACAAAGCAGGAAGTCCTGTCTGATCCTGAGAAGACAACAAATATTCCCGTCTAGCGCAGATGAAGACCAATATCCTGAAAAGCATAAGTGTGCAGGCTGGGTGTGGAAAAAAGCATGGGAATGTTAAATAATGCTCTTCTGAATAAGCAGCACAATCTTTTATTTTGTTCATGTTGAAAACCGTCTGTGGTTGGAAACAATGTCAGGTATTTCAGTGTAATGTCTTCTTGTCTTTAAAGCCCAACCAAACATTGACATCATAATTTGGGAAGCATCTGCCCATGGTAGCTGGTTATCCTTTTAAGTGCAGGGATGAGGAACTGGTAATATCAGACTGCACATCCAGTCTAGTGCTTAATATATAAATATTTCAGAACTGTTTTGCAGCTATTGTAAACGGCTGCAGGAGTGACGTATCCCAGATGCGGACACTTCAGATGTTGCTCTTTTTTCGCGCAAATATTTAGCTTATGCTCCTGACAAAGAAGTGAATCACGCTGGTGAGGACATGCAGTGTGAACTGCGGCCACCCTAGAAAAACTGTAATGGAAAAAAAACTCACAGGGTATTCAGATAGGAGCATTACAAGTAAAAGTCCCCCTTGCAGAAGGAGCTGCTCTGGTTTTGTAGATGGAGGCTATGTTTTGCGCTAGCTGTTCCCCATGGCTTGTGTGTGGGTTTTGTCAGTGACGCTGTGTCCTCTAAAGCAGAAGATGGAGGAGGGCTGCTGGCCCGTGCTGTACCTGTCACTGCCTCTTCTGGAAAACAGACGGCAAAGGCGAAGCATCTTACCTTCCTAAAATCTGTTTCAAAGCACGGCTAGATGAGTAGGGACTCAGTGGGGTGGGGATCCGGCCAGCAATCTGTGCGCCATGAATGCCATTCCTCCTGCACTTTTCCCCTTCCTACCCAGGAATCCTGCAGCTTCAGCCATGAAGATTATTGCCAAGTGACACTGGCGTTGGCGAAAGTATTGACATTTGCAAATACCAGAATGCTCTATCTGCTTCCTTATTTCACATAGGTCATTTTTTCCCCCCTCCAGACTTCCTTGGGAAGTGAAAGTAGCAACAGAAGCAGGTTCATGCTGTGCGCAGTGAGAGAATGAGGGAGTGAAAAAGCAAGAGATAGAGATTTCATGTATAGGGCAGGTTTGGTACGTACCAAGGTGGACCATTGGGAGAGTGTCCTTCTGGACTTGCTGGGATCCTGACCTGCCCAGGCAGGAATGGCCATAATGTCCTAACCGGCTCCAACCAAGGTCCTTCAGCCTGGTCTTTTCAATTTGACATTGTTTCCTTGTACTTTCAGGAAATTATGGTGTTTTCCATGTAATTTCATTCCAGCACATGAAATATGGGAAGCAAGCACTGATGCCATTTTCTTTCATTCTTACATTCCGTAAATGTTTTCGTCGGCCAGGTAATGCCAAGGAGCTTGCCAACATCCTCAAGTTCCATGTGGCTGATGAGATCCTGGTGAGCGGCGCAGTCAATGCCCTGGTGAGGCTGAAGTCCCTGCAGGGAGATAAACTGGAAGTCAGCATGGTGAGTCACCTCGGATGGGGTATCGTGGTCGGCAGGGCTGTGGTCTGTCTTTAGCTGTCCATGTCGAAGACCAAAGCATGCCTGTGCTCATTTGGATGGTGTGGGAACCTCTTCTAAATGTGTGCACAGACCCACCAAACTGCGTTTTCTGGGCTGTAGCAGAGGGACTGTTGCCATGTGTTCAGTTCAACAAGCTGGCAGTCTTGAAATGTGGTTTGCTTCAGCTTTCTCCCCAGAAGACCAATTGTAAATGATTTCCAGGAGCTGTTATAAATTTAACCCTGAGTCATGAGGGAAAAAGCATAAATAAATTAAACAAATAGCTTTTTCAGCTAACACGTCTTTTTTAGTGTAACGAAAATGATCTCTGCATGGGCTCCCTTAACGCAGCAGGACTGACTTAGATGTATAATTTCATTTCACAAATTCTGTACTACATTAAGATAATGTAGGATCCTCTATTGAGGAAAAAAAAAATATTTCAAAAAATAGATAACCATGACGCACTCTGTGCATAAGGAAGAAAATGCAGGACAAAAATGGAAAGGCCGCTGTTTCTAAGAGCATTGAGTTGGCCAACTAGACTCTTCCCATGTCCAGCGCTGGTCTGCCCTCTCCCGATGCCATCTCTTCAGCCATCCCTCTTGGCCTGAGCAGCAGTGCCTGGTGCCATCAGGGAGCCGGTGATGTGCTCTGCTGCCGCGGGACGGTGTTCCCAGCCAGCGCACTGAGAAAGTCCGTGCTCCAAAGCCTGCCGGCCTCGCCAGGACAAACTGCTCAGGCTATAATTAGTTTTTATATTCTCCTTAATTGGTAAGAGGAATGAAAACGCCTACAGCCATCCACTAAATGAATGAATGCAAAGTGAGGGCTTTTTTAATAAAATTGGAAACCACTGATGACAAAAGTTTCTCGTTTTCTACTTTTTTAATTTTTTTTCTTTCCCTGAACAGAAAAACAATGTAATACATATCAACAAAGAGCCTGTTGCTGAAAGTGATATCATGGCCACGAATGGTGTGATTTATGCCGTGAACTCCGTCTTACAGCCGCAGGGTAGGTCCACGGTTAGAAATACCTAAAGCTACACCATTGCAGCAGAGCTGCTTTGGGAGGGAGTGGTAACACATGGCGATTGCTTCAGTTTATTGAGGAGGATTAGTCTGGTATGGGATTTTCAACACAAAATAATGGCAAGAAGCAGCCTGTGTGCTTTGAAGAGGATTTCAGTGCTATCTCTGTCCCACCCTTAGCTTCAAGGCCGCAAGAAAGAGGTGACGAGCCTGCAGATCCCGCGTTAGAAATCTTCAAACAGGCATCTGCGTTATCGAAGGTAAAAGAAAAAAAATCTCTCACTGTGGAACTACTGAAATTCCATTTTGGTAATAATGATTGGAAGATAATGTCACATTCAGACTTTCAGACTTTGACTTCCAAAGAGAGTGAGTGTATGTGTTTCATGAAATAACCAATCCTCTCTTCTTGCATGATTTAATTATATAAGAAATAACACATTTTGCAACATGAAGCCTGCAGTTTGCAGCACACTGTGAAAGTAACCTTGGCATGGTACTGTATATATCAGCTTCCAATAATGAAGTCATTCATCCATGGTTTTTGGAGACTAGGGATCAATATATTGACATGCAAACTGTTCTTACAGCTGTTGGAGATTTGTTGTATTTATGCAAACCTTATATATTCTTTCCCTGCAGGTTTCTCAGAGGAATCCTCGACTAGGTAAAACAACTTCTCTAGCTTGTTTCTAATTGCCATCCTATGTCCCTGTCCCTTAAAGAGAGGTTTATTCTGTTGTCTTGCTCCAAGCAAGAGGTAGCATAACGAGGAGGGGAGGGGACAGGGAGATGCTGTGTGTCTGTCCCACCAAACTCGGTCTTCTCCTTGGCAGCACCTGTCTACTCCCGGTTACTAGCAAGGATGAAGGAGAACTCGGGTGGATTCTGAGCCGTGTCGTGAACAACCGCAGTCAGCACCTCCATCCCATCCGCTCCGGCTGACAGCTAAAGAGAAGGACAGAATCATCTTTAAAAACCAAATATCACCCTTAAATTTATTTTTGTTTCCAATGAAATGGATAGGAAAAATGAAAAGCCATATATATATGTATATATTTTAAGACCATTTTTATTTGGTTTTGACCTTAAAGTTCCCAGACTGAGGATAGGTTTTGGGTTTCTTTTTTTAAAAAAAGTAGTCACTAATTTGCAATTTTTAACATACCCAGTTTTGGGCTTTATACATACATACAAGGGCAGGTGCTTAATTCCGCCCTGGTTCAGGAGCTCAGAGAGATGCTTAGAGCTCACCTTGGTGCTGTCTCACTGGGGAGACCAAAAGGGGCTGAACTAAAGCCCCTTGCCAGGCTCCCAGAGGTACCTGCTGGCACTGCAAATGCCAGGCTCCCGACCTGGGAAGCCAGGTGTGATCTCACTGAAAACCCTCTCCAAACCAGTGCCAGAATTGGGAAATTTTGGCCAGAATGACTTGGCAGGAATTGTGTACGTTCAGCTTTCTGAGCAAATACATCCCCCGGGGCCAACTGTATGGCTGGGCGAACAGTAATTGCTTTGGAGGAAGTAAATTTGTTGAAATAATTAACCATTACCCAAGCAAATTTTTTTTAGTTGTGTTTTTTTTTTTTTTAAACAAGCACATGTTTCCTTCTTCCCTTGTCTTTTAAAAGTCTTCCTTGAAATTCCGAATTGAAGGCTTTTAACAAAAGCCTTTCTATGAGGAAACTGCATAATTATAAGCTATGGTTTGAACTGTTCTCTTTTTTTTTTTTATTGGGTTTTGTTTATGCCTATGGGTTTTAACTGTGCTGCGTTTTGTTCACGAGAATGAAATGGGAGTTCTGCCTGGCTGAAGCCTTCCAGTAAATGATTCATTTTTAATAAAGGTTGTTTTTTAATAAAAATTTAAAATAAAATCAAAAATATAAATATGAAAAGTGATGATAATGCTTGTTTCTTTTTTTATTTGGTTTGAATTTTCTGATGGAACAATTTGACCACCTAAGTATTGGGAAGAATGGGGTCAGATTTGGCTGGATCAGTATTAACAGGTCTAATAGTTACTAGAGTGAAATGGCAAAGCATTTCTCCTCTCTGCTCCTGGCCTGTCATCATTTTTCAGCGGTACTTTCGTGAGCAGTCCCTGTCACGCACTTCAAGGAGCACAGGGCAGCCGTGCGCATCCCTGCCGCTGGATGCTTAGCCACCCTTGCCAACACCTGGAGCTCAGCACTCCATGCCACGATGCAGACAGCACTTGGTCACCCCTTCAGGGCTTTATAGACCCTCCCCAGCCAGTTGTTACCTTGGTGAAACCCAGGATTATGAAGAAAAAAAAAAAAAGAAAAAGGATATCCAGTGCAGAATACAAAAACTCCAGATTGTTTTGGTCGCTCTGGCTGAGAAACATGCTGGTAGTTTTTCTTCTATTAAAAACCCAAATTGAAATCCCATATGCTGTGAGCCATCTGCCTAACTCAAATGTGTGAAAATAATCAGGCTCTTCTTTTATTTCCTTTTCCCAGCCTCCCATCTCATCTTTTTATTTTTCCAGCATGATGCAGTCCTGTTATTTAAGGGTGGAGTGGTGATGGGGAACCCTTTGAGCCATCTATTCCCAGGAGCCCAAGGAAGAAGAGTTGTATCAGGGGACTGGCTCCTGGGGGCAGCTCAGCTTTTTGTAATTGGAATAATTAATTACCAACTCCTATAAAAGCCTGAGAGGGAGGGAAAGCTACCTTGTATCTTGCTTAGTAGTAGCATGTGTGATTGCAAGGGTAGCCTTGCCTTTTTTTTTGTTTGTGTTTGGTTGTTTTTGGTTTTTTTCTTCCCTCCACTCCTTGATGCTTCATAACTAAGTGATATAAGTCCTTCACAACTTGGGAAGGTGGAAAGTAGATCTGATCCTCATTGAGGTGAGTGCCTTTTGCTTGTATCTTCTTGGTGTCTGGCCTGGTGACTACTTAAGTGTTTCTTTGCAAAATGAAACCACTTGAGTAGATGGGAGTAGGGGAAACTTTGCTTAGATGTGCTTAGTAACTACAAGACATCCCATCTGCTGAGACAGCAGTTTTCATCTCCTGGGAATACAGTCCTGGCTTTCCACTGTGTGGTTTATGGGCAGGTGTTGGGACTGGTGGTGATGCAGCGATCATCTCCTTTGTGTTTTGCACATGGCTTGACTTTGCTAGGCTTGCTTTGAGCGAGACACCAGGTTTATGAGTCCCAGCAGAGTTTACAGTAGATACAGGTGTGTTATCCTTTCAATCCAATTCCCTTTTTGCTCTTTCCCATTGCTTATCCTCTGTGGCCCTTGGGCAGTGCTCCCTCCCTTGCTTCTCCTGCCCCATCCTCTGAGCTGCTGTGGAGTGCCAGCAGTAGCTCCCCACAGTGCTGCAGATGCAGGGCTGGTGTCCCCTGTTGTGTTGCCTCTATAATTTCCTTGGGATCCTACATTCCGGAAAGCCATCCCAGGGTGCCTTCCCATGGGCTTTCTGCTTGGAAGCCCCCCAGGGCTTTGGTGTCTCCAGATGATAGTTGGAAACTCTTGAGATGACTTAATTCCCTCCCTTTCCCTGCTCCGAGTTGTTTTCTCAACCCACTGTGCTCAGGGAGGGCTACCCAGATGGCTTAGATCAATGGCAGGGCTTGAGCTGCTTTAGTTGATCAGCAGGGACTGCATCACTTGCTTTGATTCAGTGATGCTTTGGGGATGTTTTCCCCCATGGATGCTCAGCCCTGTACCTTAACCTTGCAAAGTAAGGGCGGGTGCTGGTAGTCATCCTGCCAAGGGGAGCGAGATGTTATTGCTTCAGCTTTCAAGGGGTGCAAAGGGAGGAAGCTAGAGGAGAGCAGCTGAAAGATGGGGAAATGAGGAGTGCTGAGATGATGGGAATATAAAACTTATCTGTCACTTTCTAAAAAAATATTAAAAAAAAATTTTTTTAATGTGACAAAAGGTGGAAGTGAAAGGAAGAAGGAAGTTTCTGGTGCTGATGAGAAACATAACTCCCCTGGGGAAGTGCTGGCAGAGGGCTCCCATGAGCCCAGCTGGGTGTGGGAATCTGAGGGCTGTCCGAGCCAAGGGCTGTGGTGGGATGGAGGAGCTGGGGTTCTCCTGTGTACTCATCCCATCCCACTCAGCACCTCCAGGAGTCTCCAGACAGCAACACTCCGGGGCGGGGGAAGAAGTAGAGCCTGATTAAGGTGCTGCTCGGCGAGGATCCGGGCTGCTGCGGCATCCCTGGGATGAGCAGCGTTTAGGATTAGCCTTCTTGTGGCAAACGCCACTGGGGTATTCAGCACATAACCATGTTGCACCAGTGGTTTTTGTTTTCTCATGTTGTCAGAGTATTTCCACCTGAAACCCAGAGCATGGGGATGCATGCTACTGTGAGCTCGAACTGGGGCTGTCCTCTGCAGGAACTCCCTTCAGGGCTGGGGGAAGAAAAGAGCTGAACTGAGAGCAAATAAGAGCCTTTTGGAGAAGAATCTTGCTTTTTTTTTTTCCTCCTTTGGAGTCAAGAGTGTTTTTCTATTGAAAGTCTGCAGGAATGTGCAGCCACCCTTGTTTACTCTTTTTAGAATAATGATTCCTTCACTTGCAGTGGCTCCAGTTCAACAAAATAATTAAATGTATGCAGAAATCCATTTAGGAAAAATACAGCTTTTAAGTGTGTGCTCCTGAAATCCCGCTGATGACTAGGGATCATGGCTGGGCTGATGCTGGTGGGCAGCTCCTGTGCCAGCTGAGCACCAGTGCTCTCCAGGGTTAGAGCAGTGAAAAAGCAGCACCTCTGAAGGGCTGGAAAAGCCAATGTCGAATATGAAATGCTGCATTTTGGGAAGCTTAATGTGGTGGGTTTGCTCATTTACATCTTGAGACAAGAGCCAGAGATGCTTTTCTTTTAGAAAATTACTCTACTCTCTGGTGGCCTTCTGCAAATACATTTAAAGCAAGAGAAAAAGCAGCGCTGTGCTTTGTCCCGGGAGAGATCTCACATGCAGTGCTGTAGTGGAAAACATGTGCTCTTCCAGCATCACGGAAATCTCGGAGCACTGCTTGCTTGGCTTATGCAAACAGTTTGGAGTTGACCTGCCCCAAGTGCTGGGGCTTGGAGGGGTCAGGCTCGGGGGGCTGTGAGGTGGGTGATGGCAGCTCCCTGCACCTTGTTATATGAAAGATGGAAACGCAAAAGCCTTCGCGTATGTCAAAGGCTAGGCAGAGGCTTGAACGAAGCCAAGGCATCGCAGCCTGATATGCTGCAGAAGGATGAGCCCTAAAAGTCAAACCTGGAGGCAGGGGTGAGGTCACCCACACACCATTGCTGGAAGAAATTATTGTACTCCCTGCTTTTTCTGCTGTAGGCAAATTCTTGTTTCTATGTGTGATTTATTGGAAAGTCATTGCACCTGTTAGCTGTTGTCTCAGGAGGAGCAAAAAGGAAAGCTAAGGGTAATATTAGTGCTGGTGAAAGATAAGCTCAAAGGAGCAATCGGCATCGGAGGCATCCAGCTGTGGCTCAGGCAACTCTTGCATTTTTTTCTTCTGAGTCTTTTTTGGTGACACATTTGAGAGATGTTGCAGAAATCTATAAATTCCCCAAAGAAAAATATTTAGGGGGACTTTCTTTCCAATAATGAATGATGCCTTACTGTTTTATAATACTTGTATGATTAAATACTTCACAAAAGCTTAATACTTTTCCTAGGAGAAGTCATTTGGTGCAAGAGCAGAGGGGTATCAAGTGTCCAGTGAGTCATGCAGCACGCTGCACCGCAGAAAGCATCCTCCCTCTAAGGTAGAACAACTTTCCTAAGGATCAGTTATCACCTCCTGGAAAGGAAGGTGACAGGAAGGGTTTGTTTGTTGGATGCTGCCATTTGTGATACGCTGAAAAATTCTTTACAGAATTGTCATGAGTTGGCCCA